GAAAATGTAAAAGCTAAGATCCAAGACAAAGAAGGCATTCCTCCCGATCAACAACGTCTAATCTTTGCTGGTAAACAGTTGGAAGATGGAAGAACTCTTTCTGATTACAACATCCAGAAAGAATCCACACTACATTTAGTTTTGAGACTTCGGGGAGGTCTCTAAAAAGCTGAAGTTCATAACAAAATGCTAGTCATCATACGTCAGAAATAGTAGTTGTAGTATTGGAGTAGTGATAAATTTATTATTTTTTTTTTCTTTATGTGCGCTCCAAGTCTATATATATCTATACATGCTTTTTATCACTTTCTGAACTTTTATTCTCAAATAAAAGTACGATAAGAATGCAACAAATTGTAATCCATGTGAGTGTGGCATTCTCATGTGCAATAAACTACAAAATTACATCGCATTTAGTACTATTAAGTATTAAATGAGTTTTATTACCTTCCCGACATTTAAAATATAATCAGGTGTTTTCTTGAGGAAGAGAATAATTTTTTATTTTCTGTATAATTAAACAGGATATATATATATTACTGCATATGTTGTGACAAATACACTAGATTCTTGCTTCTCTAAAATCTACAAGAATAAAAATTCAAGTACACATTTGCAAGTCTTAAGAATAAATTTATTTATAATATATCGATCAAAACGTTCTTGTTCATCACACAAATATATTTGTATATCTAGATTTCTCTCAGTTTGTGTTTATAAATGTATACATATAACAATAAGATGTATATATTTTACTGAACACACTTTATTAATAACCATCTTATTCATCTTGTAATTCTTCTTTTTCCCTTTTGTTTTTTACAAACGTACATGATATGTAAGAATTTATATCTAATCTAATTTAAAGGTCAGCACTACATATAAAATCTTAAGCAAAGAGATTTAAACAGTAAATTAAATAGAATTAACTACAGACAAGTATTGTAGAAAACGCGTCTGTCTTCGGGACATAGCCATCTCGAAACGTAACAACGATAACAAGTTCTAACAATAAGTTACGATGAAATTTGTATATAAGCATTATATAGTTACGCTCAGAAACTCAACAGTTGCACAACGATTGAGAGTTAATCACTTATGATTGGATCATACTTTTAAACAAAGTAAAGAAATAAAAATAGTAAAGTATAGAAATCTGTGTGTGTGTGATGCCATGATCTTAACAATTTCACATCACATGAGTCGGAGTAGGTTCTACTTGATACCTCGCGATCATCATGAACAAAAACCGTGTCGTCGACAATGATTGCGGTCCGTTTTATGTTTAATCGCGCATTTATCTGTAGAGAATGAGCCAGAGAGAAGAATGAGAGATCAGCCAGGCTCATGAGTTTTTACAATCGCTTTTCGTGGACATGGTTCTATTTTGACGTGGTGGAGATTCTCCACCACGTCGGTGATCTCAGCACGGAATAGAACCATGTTCACCGCACTTAGCACGGAATAGAACCATGTCTACAGCTCCTTGCACAATGGAAGGAATAGCGATAACGATAGAAATAATACCAATTCTAAAGAGTTTATATTTATAAATACACGGTAGAAACATCGAAATCGAACATACAAAAATATACATGTATCAATGCAGATCAGAAAACGGAATAAGCAATAGCAATAAAATTTCCGACTAGTTGGAATTCTGTGTCTATTGCTTATCACTATTCCCTCGCATTGTGCAAGGGGCTTATCGCACATAGCACGGAATAAAACCATGTCCGCGAAAAACAATAGTAAAAACTCTTATGGGCCTGACAAGCCGCTCTCATTCTTCTTTCTGGTGTAGCAAAGTTAAAGTTCCACAGAATCATGTTATACTAAAAAGTAATTTGTATATTATTGATTCTGTCACGTCATATGAGATGAATTTTTCTATTACTGCAAATTTTTTATACTGTAGTCTTGCTCACGCGAGTTCTACAGTAATCATTATTGCCGTATAGGTCCTGTAATAATATCAACAACATTAATAATGATATTAATAATAAGAAAATGATGAAAATATATTATATACACAATTGCACATATTAACAGAATAAAAATTACATATCACACACACTTACCTATGAAGCTTAATAAAACTGGCAGAAATATTAAGCCATGCGCCGCACCAAATAGCACAATACCCAAGTACATTCTAAAATAAAACACTCGGAAAATCTGCGATTTTGCGAAAGCTAGAACCGCTATTCCTACGAATTTTGTCAGAGTGATTCCGGAGAATACCTGTAGAATGGCAAAAACAAATAAATCATTAAGGTTTATAAAAGTATCAAATTATCACTCTAATTTTCGACAATTATTATTTAAAGTATAGTTGAGTTCGGTGAGTAAAAATAAATGAGTTAAAGATAAAAGCGTTGCCGAACGGGTTGCAGGGTTTTAGGCATTTCAAAAAATCACTATTGTGTGAGTAACAAAACAAACGTAAAATTGTTATATTCTGTTATTACTTTTATCTTTTTACTAAAATTATCTCATTGTATCACTATTTTTAGACCTTAAAATAAAGTCGAAACGTTTGTTTTGTTACATAATAGTGATTTTTTGAAATGCCTAAAACCCTGCAACCCGTTTGGCAACGCTTTCGTCTTTAACTCATTTAATTATTACTTAATTGCACTTACGGAACTTCCCATGACAGAAAGTGCTTCTGATACTTTGCTTATTCTTGTCTTAGCTGTAGAAGTGATATAGGAGTGTACTATGTGGCTACAAAATTCTACAGATATACCAGCCGCCTGTAAAAAAAAAATGTATTGGTTAGCCAAGAATAAAAAAAAGCGAGCAGGAAAGAAACTTCTTCTCTTCTTTCTAGCTCTTTCTCTCTCTTACACATACTTTTTCTAATTCTTTCTTTTTCGCTCCCTCTTCTTTTCATAAGAAACTTTTAAAATTTGAAAAAACAATAAATACGTTGTATAAATATGTGAAACATAAAAAAAATCAACTTTTACTTAAATATGAATTTTAGAGTTCGTATTGTATTGATTTTTAAATTAAAAAAAATAGCGGAAACGTTTTCAACCATAAATTAGATCTGTAATCACAACCACAAATGTTAATAAGTGATGTTAACAATGTTAAAATTATTGAATTAAAAAAGTAACGAATAAAAATTAATTAAATAAAAACTTTTTAAATTAAAAACTCAACAGAGACAAACCGACATCCTTTTCTCTTTTTTTATATTTTGATATTCATTTTAGTTTAGTCAAAATCAATAATTAGCCAAATCACTATCAGAAATTTGATTATTTATAAGAAATCAAGTCTGTCGTTACTTTTAGTCACGCAATTAAAAAAATTAGAAAAGTAAGCTCACTTTAAAATAAAAATGTTGATTTCAACGTGTGCCGTTAATATAAAGTAGCATAGTAAGAGAAATTTACTTAAATAGCCAAATCTGTCGAAAACAAATTCGGTCAAATGCCCGCAACAAATTTTTATCGTCAAATCTCTCAATTAGATTGCATTAGAAAATAGAATTAACTCTTCGCGAATAGACATGGGTCTTCCAGACTCGTTTAAAATTTGCGATGTTTCTAGTAAAAATTAGTTTTTTGTTCAAACGTTTATATCTTCGAAACTAAAGATTTTTTAAAGTTTGTTTTTTTTTTATCAACGCAGAATCGTTCGAACTTTTGATAAAAAAAAAAAAAAAACAAAATTGAAAACATTGATTTTTCACGGAGATATTTGATTTTAAAGTCGCGTGAGTCTCACAGACCCAGTCTGTTTAACTAATCGTTATTTTTGAGGTCCACGAAGAATTAATTGTTATTTTCAAAACTCTCTGTTAACAGAATTATAGATAGAATTTCAAATAAAATTCTGATAATATATCAATATTCTGAATTTATAGTTAATCTGTTCACAATTTCTTAGCAGTTTGCTTATAGAAATTGTTAATTATTCAGTTTAGAGAAGGCAAATTAAAATTATTTTTTTCTGAATGTTTTTTTATTAAAACATTCAGAAAAAGTTTGTTTTAGGTTTTTACACCACCATATGGATGCGTGCAATCGACACGGTGAGAAATAATCGACAGCGATGGACAACAAATTAACGTCGCAGAAGAGACAACAATGAAACTGAAGAGATTCAAGTTTGAATGAGAAACAGAAGATACCATCAGCTCATGAAAAATCCATCGGTTTAGTTGTTGAAAGAGAAGATCTGGAGAAAAGAGAGGAAGTAGAGAGAATATATAAAGACTCTTCTTCTTCTCTCTTTTCCTTACTCTCTCTTTCATTTTCATCTTTCAACAAGAAACGGACACATTCTACGAAGACTGGAGCTGCTTGTAAAAATCCATCGATTTAATCGTTGAAAGAGAGGACCTGGAGGAAAGAGAGAAAGTTGAGAGAATATATAAAGACTCTCCTTTCTCTCTCTCTTTCTAATTCTCTCTTTAATTCTTATCTTTCAACAAGAAACGGACACATGTTTTTAACAATTGTACAAACCATGACTAAGTTGACGAGTGATACTGCGTTCAAACTAACGTTCCACCAATACATCAGGCCGCCTATATTGACCACTATCATCAATACGGAAAGAAGGACTATAATCGCTGAGAATAATGAGAATCCTGTGAGAAATAGTGTCACCACGAATATTACGGCAAGTGATAAACTTATCGATAACAAAGTTTCCTGCCAAATAGCCAGATATTGTTCATAGTATACGTAAAATACACTGCAACACACATAGAAAAAATTGCGGCGATTATAATTATGCGAAAAAAAAAAAAATTTGATTCTAAAAATCAATTGTGCTCAATAGTTTTAAAGAACATTTACTTACCTGTAAGGAAATACTTGGACTTTTTTATCAGTTACGTTTGCTTCATTAATCATGTTCGTAATATTGTCCGATATTATTCTGGCAGTTCGTAGCGCTTCGTACCAATCGGATGATTTTTTTAAAGGTGTATGGTAACTCATAAAATACGAATCGCCCACGTCACTCAGGCCAAACTCATCATTATAATAATTTAATGCCTATATATTAAGTTGTGTGGAAACTTTAATCAGAATTCTATCAGATGATTGATTGTAATAAAGAAAAATGTATCTGTGTGTGTGTGTGTGTATCTCACGAATACTGCAATTGTTTCTAATAATATTTGACTCACGTCGAAATAAGCGGCTCTTCCTCCTTTTGCACATGTTTCATCCGGAACATCCATCACAAAATAAGAAATATATTTCCTGAAACTGTTCGCATCCGGACGAGAGGAAGAGTTTGTTTTATCAGTCTTAATGTTACATTTCATACATTCTGTAAATCATTTTTTAATTAATTGTACTAGCATTAAGTCGATAAAGAGAACTTGACAAAGTTCTGTATGTGCGCGCGTGTCTCTTTCTTTTTTTCATTCGTATATTTACATGTTATTATAACGTAGCACTTACCTTGATTTTTTATGTGTGGGCAAAATGATTGATTATTAGCAAAATATTTGCAACAACTGCTAATTGTAGACCAATCGAAATAATCGTCTATCCAAGAGGAAGCTGGTTTAGACAAATATGATCTGAAAGTATTTAGAAATGAAATTCTTTCAACAGAGAACTCTAGAAAAAAGTGCCTGTTGTTTTTTTATATAGAGACAAACTTTTTCTATATCTGACATAGTTACACGCATATATGACACTTTCATTCTCGTGTATATAATTTTTTCTGTCTGTTAAATAGAATTATATACATATATATATATATATATATATATAATTCTATATATATATATATGTATAAAATTCTACGTAACTATTTATAACCAGATCAAATTTGTTCATATCTGCAAGATTTTTTTTCCTAGAACTTTTTAAACAATTTCATGTATTTTGAGAGAGAGAGAGTGACATAGATAATTGACTTCTTATTCCTCCTAACAACAATTTCAATAAAAACAATAAATTCTAATTTTTTCCACAATTTTCTAACATGTAGAGTCAGAGATATGTATGTATGTCTTCACCTATAAAATTTTAAATAGTGCAACTTAATTCATGTGAGAAGAAATACAACATCTCTAACTCTCTCTCTCTCTCTCTCTCTCTGTACATATTATCCTTTTGTATTCTTTTTTTTGAGAGTTACATACATGGAAGGTTGTTTGGCAGCCGAATATATCTGAGTGTACAGAGAATCCATATTGCATCCTTGACCGCCGCATATAATATTCTGCGCTTCTCTTTTACTGTAGTTCAAACCTTCTGTTAAAACAAAATACACCGGCGGTCCCATCGACAACAGATCTTCCATATACTAATAAATAAGTACATAATTGCGAATAAATTCAACGTCGATCGATAATATTTGAAATATCAAGTTTATGTTATATTTGCGCATTCTTATTGTATTTTTTTACCGTGCGTTTATACCTGGAAATATTTCAAAACATAAGAATCTTCTGGCATCGAGAGTTTCTGATCCAATCCAATTTCGATCTGCGGTATGATTGCAACATGCGTAGCGAGAGCGGCGATAAATATTATAAATACAATAATTCTTACTGGTGTTTTCATCAGAAACGGCGTGTAAACGCGTTCGAAAATTGTGTAAATCAAACCTTTGCTATGTTCGTCAGTTTTTGAATTATTGATAGTAATGCAGCAACAAACATCGAGACGATTGTTCTAAAAATTGTACATATTATAATGGATACACATGTGTATATGTATGTTGTGTATAATGTATGTGTTTGGGCTGCAGGGGGGCAGAAGATGGGGGCCTTCTGTCGGTCATTGCACGCAGCCCAAAGAAGATGGCAGAGGAGATGTGGTGGTCCCATCTCCTCGCCAAGTTTCTGAAGGTGGGTGATAAACTCTGTCTATCATCACCCGAGTGTGCAAAGAGAGGAAGAGGAGATGTAATGTACCCACGGGCACAGCCACTCCTCTTCCTCGCGCTAGAAGACCACCGGGGAGTTTTAGTGGGTGAGAGTCCCACACTCCTTCCATCCTCCCCCGAGAGTGGAAGGGTGCATAATGCATTTCTCCTCGTCAAAAAAAAAAAAAAAAAAATGTACGTGTATTTTTTTTTACAAACAACATAAAGTTTGAAATTTTGTTATTTTTGTTAAATCATATTTGTCACAAATTTTTGTTATATTTATATTCAGAATGTTTTGCGAAGTATTTGTATGACTTATTACCTCGAATCTCTTGCAGTCGAGAGACAATAAAGCGACGAAAGCCGTTATTTGAAGAAGAAAATTAATTAAAATTGATAGTGAAGCATACATCGCAAAAGTGTTGACAGCTGGCATTGACGAAAACGAGCCTAAAAGTTTTAATTAATTAATAATTAACTTTATAGCTCAAATTTTAATTTTTTTTATATTACATAAATAAATATAAATTTGTTTATTATTTATTTGGGATTCAAATTTTTATATATCGTACCGATAAGAAAACAGAAACACTCAGATGCACTTGACAGTAACATTGACGGACCAACCGCACCCATTATTCTACCAATGTGCTTTGGAATAGATTCGTCATTAAATCGAGGATTTCTTTGATAAGTTTGCACCAAAATGAAAATGTTGTCAACTCCAACAGCCAGCACTAAGAAAGGTATTACCTGAATAACAATTTATCATTAGATTCCTATTTCTATGCAAACATTTTATATATTTATATATAAAATGTATATATGTATGTATTTGTATAAAAATTTAAAATATATATTTTAGTTTATAATCTCACATGTGTGTTCAAATATTTTCGATAAGAATTAAAGTCTCTAAGTACATTTTCAAGTATATAGTAATATTATTACATGCATACACGTGTATACATACACACCTCTATTGTGAGCAAAGTAGTTGGTATGCCAATATAGCCAAAAATTCCGAGCGAACACGCAACTGATGCCATAACTATAATGATTCCACCGATGCTCACTACAATTTTGCTCTCAGTCTGAATAAAACAAAAGTTACATATAAATTGACGTAAGATTTATACGATCCATAATTTTGTGTTATCGTGAGATCGATAAAACTTACGACACAATCGACAAAAGAAGTTCTTATTTTACCGAGAGCAAAAGCAATATAAACGAACATGACAAGATAACTGATGATCACAGTTATCACTTCCGCTTTCGAAGTTCTGTCTAATTCGTCTTCTATTGATTTCTCCGTTGTCCATGCGACGTCCATAAATTCTGGACGTCTTTCTCGGTTCCATTCCGACATAAAATCGAGGAAACTAAAAAATTCATAAGAATCGCGTAATTTTTTAAACAGATTAAATTGTTTACATTTTGACACAAGACGCAGTTATAGATTTAAATTAGATTTGTCACTTTCTTTCTTTCGTTATTTAAACATACCGTTGTTCCCATTTGATAATCGGCGTCAGCTCCTCCGTATTCAGTGAATTTTTTACCAGAAACGTTAAAACTAATCCTGTCGCTTTAATGTAATCTGAAGAACGGTGTTCACCTTCTTCTAGATATCCTCCAATTGCTATTTCGGGTAGTATGGGTCCTTTGTACGGCGCTAAGCAGTCTGGATTAAGTGGATTTCTAAACAAATCAAAGAATAAATAAATAACAAATAGTTATAAATAAATATAATCTTTTTATTTAGTTGTATTACTTACTGCGTACACTTATATAAAACATCCAGATAAGTTTTTTTGTATTCATTTTCAATTTCAGTTCTGTTAAACTTTTTCACGTCATTTTGAAAATATCCCCACACGCTTTGCACCGTACAGAGATCGAGAGTAACCGGTCCGGTAAATTCACTCTGTACCGGAGCATAGCAAATCTTTTCCAATCCTTCATCCGTTTTTTGACCTATCTGCAAAATATTAAGTAGCACTAGTTTGTTAATGTTGCTCTTTAATGTTATTTAATTATCTCAGAATTTTTTAAAAATTTAACGCGCGATGCGGCTTTGCGTTTGTCTTGAAGAGAATATTTGAGATTTTCCTCAGATAATGCATTTGTATATAATTTGTCTTTAATTATTATTATGTGATTTTGTATATATATTTCTATATATTTTATTTATAGTTATAGTCGTGAAATGTTTGGTATATCTTTTGTTGAATTGAGTGCTTTTTTATTATATTAAGATTTTTTTATCTGATTTCTTCAATACATAAATAAATAAATAAATAATTTATCAGCATACTTCTTATTTATATATCAACATACCTGAAGAATCTCTTGTTGCAAATCATATACGGCTAACAGAAACGTCTCGTTGAACACAGGTCCGAATTCTTTAACTCCGTTTGGAGTTTGATGCAATATCTAAAAAAAAAATATATATAAGATAACTGCGTTACAACAGAGATGTAATTTTTTATACAATTTTTAAAATCTGTTATTTATAATTACTTTTATTTCATGTATTCTTGCAACGTTTCATATTATTACGCAATGTCTCATAATTAACACAGAAATATATATTGTATGTATATTTTACCTTGTCAATGCCAACAGATTTTATATAAATTTGTTCAGATCGATAAAATGGTTGAAATCGATTATCGTAGTAATCCTTTTCTATCCTGGATCTGCTATTTGGCGCTGCCCATATTTCTACAGGATTTGCGGTCACGGAGAGAAACATGATTCCGTAACTCAGACCGCAAACAATATATGAAGCCACAAACAAGACGATGAGAGGATACTTGGCAAATGCTGGTGAGTATTATAAAACATATTTTATATTACTTGTAGTTAAAAATTTGTAACTAATTTATTTTGCGAAAAAATACCTTTTCCCCATACGGCGAAAGCTGATTCAAATAATCTTTGATAAGTTTGACCGCAGTTTTTCCTTTCAACTGGTATTCTTTGGGGATCTATAAGAGCGCAAAAATATTTGAAGAAAGACAAGGAGGAAGAAAAAAAAGAAATTGCGCGAAGTAATTATTTCACAATTTAAGTAGACATCTTTGTGAAAAAAGTAGAATCGTCGTTAATGATTTATACCTTTTTTATTTCGGCATCTTTGTACTACGCTATATGTAGCAATTGTAGCACTTCCTACAACTGTGACTAGAACGACAAGTATAGCAGCTATAATGCCAAAGCCATTTAATTTGCCGATCATAAAGTCTTTGGCCCAATTCCTCTCCCATTCTATAACGGGACAAATAATGGGACAATCGACGCAACTGCAAGCTCCGGACAAGTCCTTAACAAAAATTAAATTTCAGAAAAAAATAAATTTACATCGAAACGCATCTTTCTCTAATGTCGAGTGTTTCAAGTATAAAAAATATTTGCTTTTTTCTTTACGAGCTCACATCGTAAACTTCGCTGCAATTTTTAGCTTCCGCATCCCACGGTTCCGCGTTCCATTTCTCAGGTTCATCGTAAACGTAAGTCATTTGGAAGGGCGTAAAGGGAGTTGTGGCACTGCCCATGTACTCGTACCATCTTTATAAATTACGCATCAAATATATATGTATATACATATTTTTTCATAGAATTCTTCGCTATAGTTTTTGTGCATATATATATATATTTAATACGTACAGTTTAGGAGAGCATCTGCTGGCTTCGTAAGAACCGCAGGCGATGTCCATCGCTAATCGTCCGGAAGTAGGATTAACAACGTTTATACAGGACTCGTACGTCGTATTTACGTATTTTTCCGTCACATGAATCTAAACAAGTCGCAAACTTAGAATCGTCTATTTTTAGGCAAACAAAATCTTTTTATTTTAATACATTTTATTGCAAAATTGTTGTTATATTCTCACAAAATATATATGTATATTTTTTTACACACTTGTGTAGGGGAGACTGGGGCTGATTGTGACACGGGTAAAAAGTTACAAGCTTTGATTAGTGATGAAAAATAAGTGCTACATTAAAGCTAAAAAGAGACAAACGCGACAACTGTCACGCGTCAGTAACATCATCGTTGTTGCAATTATTTTTCATTGCTAATTTAAAGTTGTAACTTTTTACCCGTGTCACAACCAGCCCCAGTCTCCCCTATTTAAAAAAATCTCACATAAAATTTGATACTCGATGCTTTTGCGATGTGTTTCAAAATATTCTCGTGCAGGACTTTCTCGGATTGGAATTGCGTTCGTTTAAACCAATATCAGTTCATTTATGAATTCTACCGACTGTGTGTCAGTCAGTATCTTTCATAGTTCTTCAATTCCGACAAAGCGAATTGAAACATTTCACGAAGTGTCGGTATGGAAACGCGTTCTCAATCCGGAAATCATGCACAAGAGTATCAAGATTTCATACAAATTTCAAACATTAAACATTTGTTACACGCTTTTTATATTACAAAAAGCACCTCTCTCGCGCACCTCAGTTCCGTTGACATATTCGTAGTCTCCCACTTTAACGGCATCGGTTACTTTTACGAATCGACTTTGATCAGAACTGCAGGTGAAGTCGCAGATTAATCGAAGCATATTTCTCATGCAAGTCGGACATCTACCGAATAATCCTTCGGCCATCATCATGCTGTTGTCCATTGTGACAACTTGACCGGCGTCGCAGCATGTTTTCGGTGAGTCTGTTACGTTTTTTTTTACAAGAAAAGCGCAGACATTATGAATTCAAAGCTTATCTTCAATTATAGATATATTTTGCGCAATTGAATGAAGCAAATAGTTCAATAAAATTTGAGATACAAACCGTCAGTTTCGAAAAAATGTGGACATCTCTTCTTCAAAATAGTTTTAGCATCCGTGTCGTTTATCGACTTGGGGAGATCGTTACTCGTTGCCACACAAGGCCGTTTTATGGAATAAGAATTCAATGGGACTTCACATTCCCCGTACCACGCACACTGCTGTTCAGCAACAATTGAAGTACAACATAGCGTGAATAGAAAACTAAATACTTTTGATCGCTTCATTTTCTAGGCGCGAACTACTATCAACTGAGAATTAAATAACACGAGTAAAATCTTTGTTCGATTTTTTCGGCACGGTATCGTTGGATTTTATTGCTAATTAATTTTTTGAACAATCAAAACTCATATGTGTGTGATAAATATCATCTTTTTCCGACGAAAAATTTCATCTTGTCTTTTTTGTTCACACAAGAATAATTTACACAAGAGTATTGGTTAAATATTCCACTAATGCCGTCTATTGATTTGCTCGTTATACAATATTATAATAATATTGTAATATTACAAGCAATATTATAACCTAACAATCACTGCTGTAACACTGCTTGGTCGTCGTATAAATTTTAGAGCTTTTTAAGTGTCTTTTTTATCCTTTCGCGCATTTACAATTAATCGGAATTGTCACGTTAGTTAATTAACAAAATAAATACACATTTTCTTGTTTAACAGATTATATACGGCAATTAGTCTGAATTGCCTATTATTCACTTCCAGAATCGAATAAACGACTGTGTTAAATGCAATCGGTATACATCATCATATCAAAGCAGATTTATCAGAACACCTGGTGTTTAAAAGCTGCTTATCGTGCAGCTGAGACTTTCAACATTTTTTTTATCATTGACGGAACATAGTGTGCTCGATTGTATTGAGATACTGATCTTCATAGTTATTTCACAAGATCAAAGTAAACAACAATGTCCGAAGTATTTTATTTTTTATAATAAACGAAGATAACATCTATATCCTTCGTTTAGTAAAACAAAAAGTATACACGTACGTAATGTGCTTAATAAATGGAAGCAAATTAGAAAACGAGAAAAATGAGAAAATCGTAGGCGTAAATCTGTCGTGTAATTTCATATGAAACTTTTCAATGTTCAACTTTTGTTGGCTCCTGCCAATGATTTTCACAGAATCTTGCGAATGCGGATGTCCGATAAGAGCAAAAAAATTTCTTTTTCGCATTTCCACGTTAGGAGTAAAGTCATAGTCGACCTTTGAAAGTTACATCGATCTCGCGGTGCAAAGTCACGTGTGTGTTAAAAATCTGTCCAGATAATTCTACAAATAATCTTAAACGATAAACTTCATACGTGAAATCTCGAGACACAGCAAATTCCGGCTACTGATAATAGGGACTGATAACCAAAAGGGATCTCAAAAAAGGAGAAACACGCCGATTTTCATAATGAATAATCATATTTTAATGACTCAATGATTGTACAAATAGATCACTTTTAAACGTCTCCGCTTACAACCGAGGAACAATAACAACAAATATAGCAATCATCGCAATCATAATATAATATATCCATTACTAACATACTGATCACATAATAAATATGAGAAAACGTAAAGGGTTTTTTTTTTTTTTATACTCTCTCTCGGGCAATCGTATCTTTCGGCTCGCATACATACAATATTTAATCTCATCCTTGGTTCTCTCGCCGCTTAGCTCGTTTTACATCAATTTAAGAGACATTTTTTTTTCTGTTCATTCTTTCTTTCGTTCTCGTTTCTCATCTGGAAAGACTCGTTATACATATCGTTACGTGCTATCTCGTCTTCGTTTCGTTATCACTCGCTTCCGCCCCCTCCCTCGACAGTGACTCTCTTTTTCGCTTCTTTTATATATAAAAGTGTGTATATATGTGTATACATATATATATATACATTTTTTTTATACGTATATATTTATACACATATAATTCTACCAAAACCTCCATATATCTTTCTATTCTCTCTTCTCCTGTCCTGTCTTTTCATGCTCTCTCTCTTTCTTTCTCTCTCTCTCACTCTTACACTCTCTCTCTCTCTCTACTGATATAGTATATTCTCTCGGTGTCTCCAATAAGATACCGAAGATATCGCTCTAACCATATATCTCCAAATATTTTACTATATTTCAACGGTAGCGATAAAGTTTATTATATATATATATCAATAAAATTTCTGGAAGAATGTCAATAATCATACAATAGACGATCAATCGTTCGACGATCCACTGCGTACTGGGGGAGGGGCGAAAAATATGAAACTTGGTACTAGGCCAACTATTGGGATACGCCTCCGAGCTAGAGTGTCTCGACCCTGTTCGTAAGTTTTTACTGCGCGGAACTAATTGTCGAAGGAAGTGCGTTAATAATCCATCAAAAACTCTTGAGCAATCTGACAGTTTGTTCATCGTTTGTTCAAAGAACTTCCACTTAATATTCATTGATATTGAGTATGTGTGTATATATATATATATAATTTTACTAGTTAATTAATCGTTTGTTTTGTAAGAATTTGTAAAAAAACATTATTTACGAGTAAATAAAATAATAAAATAATATTGCCTCTGTGCCGTCTTTTAAACAAAAATTTTATTTTGCTTTGATTTTCAGCGCCCATGAAATTGTTATTTAAAACAATTTTTGTGTGAGTATTAATATTCACGAGAAAATCATTTGATGTTTTAGAAATCTTTCGAATATGCACATGCACATCTTGTGAAGTATTGAATTCTTTCTTAAACAAGAGAGATACGAGAGAGCACTATCTTTTCAATTTGATTGAACTCTCTGATTAGAGACGGCACCTGTGATTGTGATAAAGAGACGGTGACGAGACACTTTTCGACGCGTGTATCTATACGTAGATTATAGATACAAAAAAAGCGCTCGCACTTCAAAATATATAAGATAATTCTACCTTTATTTATTTATTTATTTTTTTTAATAAAGTTTCATAATGGCTTAATAAAGTTATCAGAGATTTGAGATAAAGATAAATAAATTCTGTATTTACCACAAAATCTTTGAATGTGAAGAATATATATTGGGGAACGTTTTATATAATTTAAAAAATTATTTATATTCCTCAGAATTACGAGGATAAAAGCAACGTCTATTACGAAAGTTCTTTGTTTGCACACTTTCCTCCGTCTCTCGCTCGATTGTCCTCGTATAGATCCCTTAGGACAGGAAGATACGAGAGTCGAGGAAAAGAAGAAAAAACACCAACTCTCGCTCGGAGGCGCGCCTCGACAGAATTTATACAATAAAATTTATATATAGTAGACAATGCACAATAATTCGAGCAACAAAAGGTCCTCCTTAAAGTCTTAAATCTGCATGGGTGTCTCTTTCGCCTAATAATAATTAGTAAGTAGGTATTTCTTTTATATTTATTTTTGTTTCGCTGTCAGATCTTAACCGATGTCTTATTAGATATATCTCGTGTCTGTGTTTTTATGCGATTGCATGATTAATGCCAATCGATCGATTGGTGTCAATGAATAGGTATATGTAATTTTATGTGTGTATGTATTTTCGTTGATTCCTGCCATCCTTTTCTACACTTCGTATCAACGACATACTTTCTAATCAACGATACCAATTAAAAAATTAAAGACTTCAAATTCGAAAATTTAATTCGTTTTCGTGTGTAATCGTAAGAAAAAATGATCTTAATACATAGAATAATTTTAATAATTGATGTATCATGTTCCTCTATGTGACTTTTCTGTTTAAGGAAGAGTTAAGCAATATAATTTTATATTTGAAAAAGCTTTCTATCGTAATCGATAAAATTTGATTAAAAAATGTTCATTACTTATCACACACATAATCCATCATGAAAATCGAGACGTAAAATCGCAACATTAAATCGTTTAAGTCATTCGAGATACTATTATCTGTTTTTTTTTTTTTTTCACGTATTAATACGTAATCATCTTACATTATCAGTATTTTTCTTGTGCATTGCATTTCCTATTGTTACTTACGTTGTTTTTGTCAGCATTTTTATACAATTATCAGAATTTGTACAGAAATTGTGCATCTGTTTTGCCGATCATAATTTTTTGTTTTCAATCAATAATCAAAAGATCGTTGTATACCAATTGCTAAATTTATTCGCGATGTTGCGGCGACAAGTTTTTGAAAGAAAATTTTTTGCGTTTCGACGAACTTTCGCACTTGAACACTTTATTATAAGTCAGTCTGGTATTAATCTTACTTAATTATTGCTATTCGACAATTTTGGCACCACGTTCGTCATACTCTTTTCCAATATATATACCCAATAATAATAAAACAGAAAAACAAATATTAGAAGAAACAAAATGTCAGAAGAAAAAGTTTCTCTTTTTTTAACAGCTTTTTCTTTCTCAAGATACACTAGACTTAACTTTTTAAATGTCGCGATTTTTTATGCGATACAATTCTTTTTCTCATAATCGTCTTTTTCAGTCTTTTTTGACAGATTATTTTTCTTACGTAGGATGGCAGGGTCTTTGCAGAGTCGCATACTCGATTTCAAGCGGAAAAAAGAAAGGGCTCTTGTCATTCTTGGCTGTCTTTTGTTTGAACACGTTACAAGTTAAATCTGACCAGCGCTCATGTTTTTCTATTTTTTTTTTTTTTTTTTTCAGTGGTAAGACTCAGTGTCCACACATCCGAGAGTTTTACGCTCGAGAGTAAAACTCTCTTAGAGAGAGCCGCGTTCGAAAGTCACACCGCCATACTAATAATACACACGCTTATCGCGGAATTATGTGCATTATTGGCACGCAGTACTCTTGAGAGTAGAACTTTCAGATATTTTCACACCTTTAAGCATTGTTCTTTCTTTAATTGTTCCTCCGTTCAATTTTCTTTTCTGGTTGTTTTGAAAAATTATTGACAAAAAACACGTAAGAAATCATAATTCTTAAAAAATACTGTGACTAAATAAAGTTTATAATGTCTGGCTTAATAAAAATAAATGCGTATACATTTATGCTAAAAATATATTATGTGTGTGGTCGCATATGATTTTCATATAAATAATATTAAAATATATACATAAAGAAACTGCAAGAACGCTTTATAAAATCATCTCATAATTGCTCGGCAGCCAAATGCGCTTGAATTTTCTCACATAATGCAGTTTCGCAAAAGCACATATACATCGCAAAAATGTGATTTCTACATAAGATTGTAAGGTATATTCGATATACCTTGCGAAATAAAAGCAGTAAGTTGCAAGCTTCGCGCGGTTTGTGCGACTTTCGAAAGAAAGAAAATGATCACCCGTTCTTGTTTATCAACTTCTGCACGACAGTATAATTCCGATCATCTCATAATTGATCATATATAATTACATTCTCTTTGGCGATATATTAATAATTGACGCGATGTTTTGTACGTCAGTTTTTTTTTTTTTTTTTTTT